AACCCGGGAGGCGGAGCTTGCAGTAAGCTGAGATCGGGCCACTGTACTCCAGCCTGGGTGACAGAGCGAGACCCCGTCTCAAAAAAAAAAAAAAAAAAGTACAATAATCACACTTGTATATTTTGACTAGTTGTTGATGTTCCTTGGTCTTCATCTGTAATACAAATGTGTTCATTAGATGTAGTAGAAATATTCTCCAAGCCTTCACTTAATTCTTCAGATTTCTGCATACTTATCCCCTCTCTTTCACTTGACTTTCCAGAGTCCTTAGAGGCACTGGAGGCCTCTCCTGTTTTATCTTCCTCTTTGAAAGTAGCAAGTTTTTTTAAGGATTCTACTACTTCATCTCTCAACTCGTCTTCAGATTCTTCAAAATTTCTGAAATAATAAGCACTAAAAATCAGCGTTATGATATGAAAGCACTGAAGAATACATATAAAAACTCATTTCCCTTTTCTCCATTCCCAGTTGAGCAATATAAAAGTTGCATTTTCACCCAGGTTTTTCTAAGCATGATAAACAACTAATGTTGGGAGAATCCATCTTCTGTTGAGTTGTACATTGTGTTAAACACCCTTTATTATATTTATTAACTTCTATCATCTAATGTTTAAGAGGAGAGGAAGAGAGAATTAAAAAAAAAAAAAATGCCATACATCGGGCCCTTACTATATGCCCATCACTATCCTAGGGCACTTATACCATATTTCACTTAATACTAACAACATTTTGAGGTAGACATTATCATAAAATTGTAAGTAAAGAAGCTGAGGCTCAGAGAGGTTAAAAAAATGTGTTGAGGGTCTCACCACTACTGATTCATAGAACCACGAATTAAAATTGTGTCTAAGACTGCAACATTGATATTTTTAGAAAGGAAAGGGAATAGATCAATAAGACAATCTGCACCAACCTAAATTAAACCTAAAAGTAACTGCACCAACCTGATATTTAAGTAGCAAGTGTGAGGTCAGGAGTTTGAGACCAGCCTGGCCAACATGGCAAAACCGCCTCTCTACTAAAAATACAAAAAATTAGGCATGGCGGTGCACACTTGTAGTTCCAGCTACTCAGGAAGCTGAGGCAGGAGAATCACTTGAACACAGGAGGCGGAAGTTGCAGTGAGCCGAAATCGAACCACTGCACTCCAGCCTGGGAGACAGAGCGAGACTCCATCTCAAAACAAAACAAAACAAAAAAAGTGGCAAGTGGAGGCGATTGAGAAAGAGCTGGTAAGAGCCAAGAAGATGTGTATCGTGGAAGCCAAGGGAGTAGCCAAATAGATGAGGACTGAGAAATGATTATTTGACTTGCCAATTTCAAAGTAATAGATGACTGTTGAAAGAATATTTCAGAGGAGTGCCACACAGCAGGAACCAATGTACAGTGGGTCAAGAAAGCAATGGAGGTTAACAAAGTGGTGACAGATGGGGACTACAGGCGAGCACCACCATGCCCCAAGTTTTTGATTTTTAGCAGTTAGGAGGTCTCACTGTGTTGCCCAAGCTGGTCATAAACTCCTGTGTCCAAACAATCCTCCCTCCTCAGCCTCTCAAAGTGCTGGGAGAGCTACTCAGGAGGCTGATGCAGGAGGATTGTTTGAGCCCAGGAGTTTACGGTTGTAATGAGCTATGATCATGCCACTGCACTCCAGCCTGGGCATCAGAGCAAGACACTCATCTGAAGAAAAAAAAAAAAAGGTGGTGACAATGAGTTTCAACTCCTCTTTCAGTGAGCCTGGCTCTGAAAGGAATGGTGTTATTTACAGAACATGGGGGCAATGGTTTTTGGTTGTTGTTTTTAATGGGAGAGAGTTGGGCAGTTTATATGCTGAGGGAAACGAGCATATGATATTGAAAACAGGAGGCAGGTGGAATAACCAATAGGAGCCAGGTCACTGAAAAGAGGCTGGGTTTTAGAGCACCTGCAGAGCATGGCTTTCAGCAGGAAGAGGGACAGTTTCTCCTAGGAAAAAGAAGATAGGGAGAGAGAAGGAGAGAAGCACTCGTGGATATAGAGAAGTTATGGAGCTAGGAAACTGAGATGATTCCTTCTGCAGAACGCATACTATCTGTGAAGGAGGAGGCACAGTCACACGATGAGTGCGTGCTGGACGGGTGTGAGCTGAGGGATGAGGGTTTGGAATCACTGATACACTGGGAAGGAAGCAGACCAGGCTTCGGATTGCCAGTCATCACGGAGGACCCCACTAAAACTGGAGACCATAAATTTGGGTGGACCAGTAAGTGCAGCTCGCACTTACTGTTACCATTCCTGAGATATGTGCTTTATACACTTTCCTTTGTCTTTGTTCCTCTACTAAACTATGCTGTGTCTAGGTATAAATTTCTTTTCATTGTTGCTGCTTGATAATTGTCTTATTTCCCAGATATGAGGATTCCTGGCTTCGAATAATTATAGAAAGTTCACAGCTGAATTGATTTGCATATTGTTTTCTCATATTCTTTTCTTCTGGAACTCCTTTTCATATACATTTGACTTCATGCCTGTTAACTTCTCCGTCACATTTTCCATCATGTTTTTCCTTAGACCTATCTTCCAGTTACTAACTCCTTCATTACCTGTATCTATTCTGTTTTTTAAACCATCAGTTGAATTTTAATTTCTATTCACAGATTTTTTTTCAACTTCCAGAAGTTCTAGTTAATTATAAAAATTTTTGCTATGGTCTGAATGTTTGTGCCCCTGTTCCCAATTCAGGTATTGAAACCTAATCCTCAAAGTGATAGTATTAAGGGGTGGAGCCTTTAGGTGATTAGGTCATGAGAGCCCAGCCCTCATGAGTGGGATTAGTGCCCTTATAAAAGAGGCCCAAAGAAGCTTGTTCACTCCTTCCACCAAGTGAGGACACAGCTAGCAGGTGCTGTGTATGGAGCCAAAAGCTAGCCCTTACCAGACACCAAATATACTGGCACTTTTTTTTCGAGAGAAGTCTCGCTTTTGTCCCCCAGGCTTGAGTGCAATGGCTAGATCTTGGCTCACTGCAACCTCCGCCTGCCAGGTTCAAACGATTCTCCTGCCTCTGCCTCCCAAGTAGGTGGGATTAAGGCACCTGCCACCATGCCCAGCTAATTTTTGTATTTTTTAGTAGAGATGGGGTTTCACCATGTTGACCAGGCTGGTCTCGAACTCCTGACCTCAGGTGATCCGCCCGTCTCGGCCTCCCAAAGTGCTGGGATTACAGGCGTGAGCCACCGCGCCCAGCCTCTACTGGCACCTTGATCTTGGACTTCCTAGCCTCTAGAACTAGAAGAAGTGTATTTCTGACATTTTTGTTAACTCGTCTAAGGTACTATGTTAGAGTAGCCCAAACAGGCTAAGAGAATCTTCCTGTTCTTTACTGAGGGACTATATTTTTCTTATGTTTGGATTCCTCAATTTAATTAAATTAAATAATTTTAAATATACAATATTATAGTCTTTCTAAGATAATTATATTATCTGAAATTCTTTATGGTCTAATCAGCATTTGTTCTATTTGCAATCTCTCATAGTGGTGTCTGTTTTTAAATGTTCAATTGTAAGTTCATCTTCACCAGTGCTTTAGTGAAAAAATCCAACATTTATCCCTCCAGAGTGTCTTATATTTACTTTTAAAAATCCCAGGAGTATTACCACCCTTTCTTGTTAATTTTAGTGTTAATTTCTCAACACAGATGTTTCCAGCCCATACAAGTATTGTAATTCAAGCTCCAAACACAAGTGAAGTCAAATCTCTGGTTATAAATGTCTTAGGGGGAATTTTTCTTCCAGAGATTGGGCTAAAACATACCAGCCACATTACTGGTCTTTTTTTTTCAAGACCATACTTGCTCTTCAAGGGTTCCAGCTAGCAAGAATGGAGGGGACCCAAGGAAGAAGACCCTGCTAGATATTTAGGAGGTACACAGAAGAGGAAGGAAATGAAGAAAAAGCAATTTTCAACCCTCCAAAACAAAAGGAGCCCACAAACTAAAATTCTAACACCTGAATAAATCTAATGGTAAGACAGATGGCATAAAATTAATAAAAGAAAAAAATTGGACCATGAACTAACTCCAGAGGAAATTATTTTTTATGGAGGATTTTGATAAGTCTCCTAAAGTAAGTATGCCCAAAAAGATAAACTAAAGCAAAGCATTTAAATTTTTTAATTATGAGAAATCATTATGCATTAATGAAACAAGACTATATAAATATAAGAAAAAATAATTATCTTGGGCATGAAACGTATAATCATTTAAATTAAAAACTCAATAGATAGTACCCAGAATAGGCTTAGAAAACAGTATTCAAGGATTCATCCACGCCTGTAATCCCAGTACTTTGGGAGGCTGAGGCAGGTGGATCGCCTCAGGTCAGGAGTTCGAGACCAGCCTGGTCAACATGGTGAAACCCTGTCTCTGCTAAAAATACAAAAATTAGCTGGTTGTGGTGGCACATGCCTGTAATCCCAGTTACTCGGGAGGCTGAGGCAGGAGAATCACCTGAACCCAGGAGACAGAGGTTGCAGTGAGCCGAGATCACACCACTGCACACCAGCCTGGGTGACAAGAGCAAAACTGTCTAAAAAAAAAAAAAAAAAAAAAAAATTCACCTGGAAAGGAACAAAGAAGAGAATAAAAAATATGAAAGTACAATTAGGTACTATTGGAGATAATTGAGAAGATAAAAAATACATCTAATATCTAATTGGAGGATCAAAATGGAGGCAATAAGAAAAGCAAATATTAAAATTTTCCAGGACTAAAGAAAGTCATGTATTCTCAAAAGAAAGTGAAGCAAGCAGTATAAAAGACATTTTTAGACCTAGACACACCATAGTGAAACATAAGAATGTAAGGAATTAAAAAAAATTATGAAAGTATCAGGGAGAAAGTTAGCATCCCTATAAAGGAAAAACAATGAGATGATAATTGATTTGTCATCAACAATAATAGAAGCCAGGAGAAAAAACAGTTGTCAACCTAAAATTATATGCCCAGCAAAATTACTGCTAAAGACTGAAGGCAAAACAAAAACAATCTTTGATAGGAAAATAAGAAAGTTTACTACTCACTGACATATCATAAATAATTATAGAGAATATACATCAACAAGAAAAAAACTGAAATCAGAGGGAAAGCATTGGATAGGAAAAAAATGGCAAGTTCAGAAAAATGATAAACTAAATTGGCAAAGTGAGTTACATTTGAGAATATGTATATATTAATGCATGTAATAATATAATATTTTTGTTTGAAAAAAGGTAAAATTGGATGAAATGATTTGATGTCTGAGACTTAAAGTATTCCACACTTACAAAAAAAAGTGGGGGGGGACATAAAGACAGGAAAGAAACAATGCTGATAATTGTTGAAGCTAGATGATGGATACAT